ATTTTCTCCCAAAAAATACTTAATCATAAATTATCAACTTTGGGGCATTGTTTGTCGGCTTTTACCTTTTAAATAATTTTTTGGCTAGATAATGCAACTTAGAAACATTTATATATTTTTTTTGTTTTTATTTTCTTTTAAAATTCATTATTATTCTTAGCCTCACGCAAATATGCCCTACGTTTTGATAAACAAAATTTTTCGCCGCCTTCCCTTTTTATTTTGGCGATTCTTTAAATTATTTACAAAAATAGTACAATAATGAGGAAGCCTTGGGCAGTAAAATAAGAAAAATAATTTTGTGTTTTTGGCGGTAAAATTTTTTTGAGAAATTTTTTGTAGACTTCATGTTGAGTGCAGCTATAGGCAACTTTCTCTTGGGGGTTTTTTAAATGTATTTCAATTGTATTTTATGTCTATATCTTAAAATACACAACTACCATTTAAGGATTTATTTTAAATGCTTATTAATTTCAGAATGTGTTTTTTGTGTTTATGTTTATTTTAAATTTTGTGTTTTTTCGTTTTCAGAATTTCTTTAAAACATTGTGTTTTCGCTAAATAAAACTTGTTTATCAGAATTTCTCATTTTATAAACATGTTTTTAAAAAATTCTGATTTTTATTTTTTTTCAGAATTCCATTAAAACATTTTCAGAATTTCTTCAAAACATTTTTAAAACATTTCTTTAGTTAAAACTTTATATCAGAATTTCCCAACAAGTTTTAAATAAATTCTGATTTCAGAATTTCTTTATTTTTTCAGAATTTTCAATAGGAAACATTAAAAGTAACATTACGTCACAACATCACTAATTTAATTTAGTTTAAAGATTCTTTACAAAATTACTACATTTAAATTGCTAAAAAAGTTTTTTTTCAATAAAACAACTTTTTTTTTCTTCATTAAAAATGTAAAAAGACGCCTACGCAATCATCAACGTAAAATAATTATTTAAAAATAAATTTATTTAGTTTATTATTTTAAATATTAGTCATTTTAAGACCTTGAAGTTTATATAAATTTCTGTTAATAATTTTTGTATTAAATTAATAATAATATTTTATATGATTTATGTATGGGCGATACCTGCCCAACACAATTAACGCCTACTACCTATTTTTGTAAAAGTATTCTGGTTTTTTATTTATTTTTTTTTCTGATTTGTTCAGATTTTATTCTGGTTTGTTCTGATTTTTTTCTGGTTTGTTCAGATATTATTCTGAGTTGTTCAGATTATATTCTGCTTTTTTTCTGATTTCTCTTTCTGATTTGTTCAGATTTTATTCTGGTTTGTTCTGATTTTATTTTTCTGATTTGTTCTGATTTATTTTCTGAGTTGTTCTGATTTTTTATTTGTTCTGATTTTTATTTGTTCTGATTTTTTTTATGATTTCTTTATTCTGATTTGTACTTCTCTTATTATTCTGGTATTTATTCTGATTAATTATTATTCTGATTATTATTCTATTTATAATTAAATTTTCATTTTTTAACTAAATCACTACCCCATGTTTCAATTAATAGAAAAATTATTTTTTAAATTATTTTATTTTTTTAATTTAACAATTTTAATTAAATCATTCTGTTTATTTAAAAAAGTCTACCTGTCATTTCTGATTTTTGTCTTTAATTGGGGGGGGGGGGGGGCATAGGAAACAGACCTCCCAAAAATGTTAAAAACCACGCCCAATAATTCTATGTACTTATAAATAAAGTGAAAAGAATTTATAGAGGAGATAAATTAAATTACTTAAATTACGTAAAATATACTATTAAATTACATAAATAATTTATGTATTTAAATTTTTGTCTTTTAAATAATTTAATTTATTTTTTTAAATTTATTTAATTAAAACTATGAGGAAGGACTATATGTAGAATAGGTATGGTCGGGTTGTCCGAAACCCGAAACCAGGATTTTTTCGATCTGAAAAGGATCTGAAGAAAATTTTAGAAACCTGGCCCAACCCTGACCCGACTTTTTTCTCAACCCGATTAAGGTTGGCAGATCCTGGGAAATCTTCGTATATCCGGATTCGATATCCGAATCAAAATTTCCGAATATAATGTCTCTTTCAGATCCGAATATCCGGATCCGCCAACCTAAGCTCGAAGAATCTCTTTGAAGAGACTATAGAAAAGACTAAAAACTGCTATTGAGAGAAAGGAGAGAGTTAATTATAAAGAAGTTTTCTGTTTTGTTATTGTCTAGATTTCAAGAAAAATTTTTTATTTTATTATTTCACAATTAAAATAACTAATGTAAAAAATTAACTTAAAATTCTCACACTTCCCCCTCTTCGCGCCTTTATTTTTTTATCAATTTTTTTGTCTTTCCCAACCCTTTTTTATTTTTTATTTTATCAGTTTTACTTCCTTAAACTCTTTTTAATTGTTTATCGGCTTTTATATTTATTATCTTTTATATTTATTATCACTTTTTCCTTTTGACTGTTTATTTTTCCGGTTTATGGTAAATTATGTATGTACATATTTTTACAACAATATTTCCAGTTCAGTTACTCTTTCGAGACGGAACTCGGAAGAGTATGAATTCAAGTATTCCAAATGACGGAAGACAGAAAATTGGGAAATCGCAAGAAAATTTTTATTTGAAAAATTTTAAATGAATTTCTAGATAAATTACTAGAAAATTTTTGTTAAAATTAAAAAACGGAACTTAAAAGAGTCGGAAATCAGAATTTCAATTTTTCAGCTCCTTTTCTGTCTCTAAATTACTTTTATGTTCAATTTGAGATTACTGTAAATGCTCTAATTAAAGCCCGGCTCTATTAGAAGCCCATATTTAATACAAGCCTATACAAGGAGCAGAGGTGGGTCAGAATTTTGATTTGCGATTTCCGAGTTCCGACTTTTGTGCCAGTTCCGATTTCCGGCAACTCGGACTGTTCCGATCCTCCTTTGCCAAGGAGGCCTATTGAAAAATAAACGCTCATTTCCTAATATGTAGAAGTCCATATCTAATACAAGCCTACCCAAGGAGGCCCATTGAAAAATAGACACCCAGGGTTTTAATTATAAAGGGCTTTAATTAGCCAGGGCTTTTAAAACCCAGGGCTTTAATTTATTTAAATTTACTAAATTGTTTTTAAAAAATATTTTTAGACACAAACTTTTAGTATGTAATTTTTAAAATTCCGTTAAATTTAACTGCCCTTCCCTTTTCCCTGTTCCGCACATCTTTTTCTTAAAATACTTCTCTCAAACAAAAAAATCTTATTTGCGTCCGTCTTTTTTTTCTAAACATTGCGCGATAATTTACGCTTTAAATTAAAAAAAGAAAAGAATTTTTGTGATGAACAAACTGAAAAAAAAAGAAAATAAAAATGTGTCCCTCTACCTACACGTCACGACTCCGCGAACTTCTCTTTTCAAAAAAATTTTTTTTTTCTAATTTTCTTTCGAAGATCACCGGTTAGCTCTTTTTCTTAGTTATAAAATGGTTGACCTAATATTTGGCTATGTTAATATACAAACATTTTTAATAGTCCTACTTTTTTTTACGAATTTTTGAGGCTATTGCTGTCCATCAAATTTATTCTAAATAAACTATAATTAATGTTACAAATAAATGCAACTATTTAATTATTACTAATCAGAATATTTACAAATCAGAATATTTACAAATCAGAATTTGCAAAAAATCAGAATTTCTTTATTTTCCCGTCTTATATTCACAAATCAGAACTAATTCTGATTTGTGAAATTTATTAAAGTCTAATATTTAAATTTACAAATCAGAATTTGTAAACAACATAATTTATCTAACCATTTTTAAAAATCAGAATTTGTAAAAAGCAGAATTAATTATCAGAATTGTAATTTCTAATCAGAATTAATTGTAAAACTTATTCTTTTTCTGATAGGCTGAATTAAGTTGTATTATTATGTTTCTAGTTTACAAATTCTGATTATTATAACATCAGAATTTGAGGATGTTTCATAGGTTATTTTTCAATTTTTAAATTTCTAATTATTTTCTAAAATTAAAAACAAAAATTATCATAGCAAATATATTACTGTCTCTCTTATCATAATAATTAGTTATATAACAGGTATTTTGCAAATAATAATAATTTTTTTAACTTAAAGCAGAAGCAAAAAATCATTAATTATTTTATGTTCTTCAATTTTTTTCTTTCTTTTTTCTCTAAATAATTGGAAATATATTACTGATAATAACTAAAAAAAGGGAATAAATTTGAGAGATATTATAACGACAAATTAAGCGAACACTTTTATTCTTTGCCGCACTTATTAATTTAAAACCATCAATTACAACCCCGCCAACGCAAATTCGCGCAAAGTAAAAAAATTATATAAAAATATATATTGCTGTTCTAAGAAACGGATGTGACTAAAATAAATATATTTTTGTCAGTCTCACATTTCTTCTCTTTTTAATATTTAATTTGTATATAAGCTTGAACTTTAATCTAATTCTGATTTTTAATTATTAGGGAATGGAGTTATTTGATTTAATATCAGAATTTGTAAAAATCTGAATTATTTATAACAAATTACAAATCAGAATTTGTAAATAACAGAATTTGTATAATATCAGAATTTGTAAACGAATTAATTAACCAGAATTTGTAATTAATAAACTAATTGTAAATATCAGAATTTGTAAAACCAGAATTTTAATTTGTAAACTTATAATTTGTAAAAATCAGAATTTTTTGTAATAAATTACAAATCAGAATTTGTAAACGACATAATTATCTAACCGTTTATAAATCAGAATTTGTAAATAATAAATTAATTACAAATATCAGAATTTATTAACAAAATACTATTTATCTAACCAGAATTTGTAAACTTTATTAAATGAATCAGAATTTGGAATTTGTAAACTTAGTTAAATCAGAATTTGTAAAATCAAAATTTGTAAACTTAATTATTTTTAGAATCAGAATTTGTTAATTACTATCTCTACAATCAGAATTTGTAAATATCACAAATTGTAAACTACATATAATTATCAAAATCATTTTTTAAAATCAGAATTTGTAAAAAATTCCTTTTTAGCAATCTCAAATTATCTTTGGTCTTTCTCCTATTTTATCTTTAAGTTTCCGTCCTTTTTTATACTATATATTTTTTTCTTAATCATTTACAAATTTATTCTTTTATTTTTACTTTACATAATGTGTTCTGCTACTCTTTTATGTGTTTCCTTTTTTAGCACCTCGAAGATTTTTTCATATTTTTTAAGTACAATAGAAGGACACCTACGCATATTTAATGTGCCTTAGGCCGCTGCTTCTTTATCCGCTACTTATGTTAAACATAAGTAGAGATTTGCTGCAAGAAGCTTGCTTCAAGTTTCTTATTTTGCTTCATGTTTCCTATTTTGCTTCATGTTTCCTATTTTGCTTCATGTTTCTTTTTGCTTCAAGTTTCCTTTTTTGTTTTGCTTCATGTTTCTTGTTTTGCTTCAAGTTTCCTGTTTTGCCTCATGTTTCCTGTTTTGCTTCATGTTTCTTATTTTGCTTCAGGTTTCTTGTTTTGCTTCAGGTTTCTTGTTTTGCTTCAGGTTTCTTGTTTTGCTTCAAGTTTCTTGTTTTGCTTCATGCTTCTAATTTCAAGCTTCTGATATTTTGCTTACTGAATTTTTTCTAGTTTGGTCTTGCTGCCATAAATTTTGCAATAAAATCTGGAAAATCCTTCAACTACCCCTTCAACCTATTTTTGTATTTACGCCTCAATGCTTAACAGATTCCTAACGAATTTTATATTTTTTTAAATTTATATTTTCTATGCTAATTTTTCTTTTCTTTTTTGCCATCATTTTTCCTTTTTCGGGTTAACTTAGTTTATTATATTTTTTAAGTTATTTTTGTGTTTTGTTTTTTTTCCAACATTTCTCTAAAATATTAGAAAATGTTGTGGGATTGTTTTTTGCAAAAAAAATTTTTATTTACTACCCTTTCAGAAAAAATAATACTAATAATATCTCTAGAATGAAAATAGGTAGGTAAATGCTACAGAATTTTTCAGAATTGTTTTCAGAATTATGTACATATATAAATGCAAATAACCGTAATATTTTCAGAATTCACTCAAGCTCTACTTTTTACAAAAATTCTGATTTTTTTCACAAATTCTGATAATTACAAATTCTGATTTTCTTGTAAATTCTGATTTTCACAAATTCTGATTTTCTTGTAACTTCTGATTTCCTATAAATTCTGATTTTCACAAATTCTGATTTTTACAAATTCTGACTTTTACAAATTCTGATTTTTACAAATTCTGATTTTTACAAATTCTGGTTTTTACAAATTCTGATTTTTACAAATTCTGATTTTTTTTATAAATTCTGATTTCTTACAAATTCTGATTTTCTTGTAACTTCTGATTTCCTATAAATTCTGATTTTCACAAATTCTGATTTTTACAAATTCTGACTTTTACAAATTCTGATTTTTACAAATTCTGATTTTTACAAATTCTGGTTTTTACAAATTCTGATTTTTACAAATTCTGATTTTTTTTATAAATTCTGATTTTCACAAATTCTGATTTTTACTAACTCTGACTTTTACAAATTCTATATTTTATGATTTTCAGAATTTTAATTAAAGATAAAACAATTATCGTAAAATAATTAAAATCTAATTTACGTTGAACACTATTTTTACACAAAAATTTTTTGATAAAAATAAATTTTAATAAAAAACATAAAAACAATTAATATCCATCATTTGCGTAATTTCATCAAAAAAATTTATTTAACAATAAAAATAAATAATAATAAAAATTTAATGTTTTTTTGTTCAAGCCAAATTTGGCATTTTTATTTGTAGCAGAATAATGTGTGATTGCGTGGGTTTTTGGTTATTTTATGTGTGTGGAGCTAAACTGACCGACATTTTTGTTGACACCCACTGAGCTTTTAATGCATACCCATAAATAGATAGTAAATAATTTTGATGTGCAATATGCCACTTGAATAATAAGCCACCTGTGTCTCTTTAATTCTGATTTTTATAAATTCCGATTTTTACAAATTCTGGTTTTTTAACCCCTGATTTTCTCAAATTCTGATTTTAAAATTTCTGATTTTTTTACAAATTCTGATTCTGATAAATTCTGATTTTTTTTATAAATTCTGATTTTTTACTCTGGTTTTTACAAAGTCTGGTTTTTACCACCGATTTTCTACAAATTCTGATTTTATAATTTTTACAAAAATTCTGACTTTTACAAATTCTGATTTTTACAATTATAATTACTCTAATATATTTTTTCTATTAAGTTCACAATTTATTTCAGAATTTCAAGTTTATTTTACAATTACTTCAAACTTTTTATTATTAATTATTATTTCTTTTCAATTTCAAGTCTACATATTTAATTTATTTTTTAATAGCACTTCCGTTTTATTTTTTATTTTTTTTTTTAAATTTTTGTCTGGATAGGTTTTGAAAATTGCCCTTTATCCGGTCATGTCTCCCTTTAAAGTGCATTGCGCTTAAAAAAATAAATTTAAAAATAAATTAAATTTACTCAGTTATACTTTTTAATTTAATTTTCTTCCTCATTTTTTAATGTTTCAAAATAATTAAATTAATTTTTAAACAATTAAATTTTTTAAAAATTATTATTTTATTTAAATAAAAAAAATTTTTAATTCATTTTTTTAAATTTTTATTTTTATTCTAATTAATTTTAAAAAATTAATTCACACACAACTCTTTATTTCACTTACTCATAAAATAAAAAAAATTTTTAAATATATTTTTTTAATTTTTATTTTAATTTTAAACTTAGAAAAAAAGTTTTCTGTCATATTTTTATTTTTTTAATTTTTTTAATATTTTTTTAAATTTTTTTTTATTTAATTTTTAATTTTTGTTTAATTAATTCACACACAAATTTATTTCACTCATTCAATTTTTTTGAATTTTTTGAATGAGTAAATAAATTTTTTTGAATTTTATTTTATTTTTTGTTTAATTTTAAAATATAATAAAATTTCAAAAAAAAATTTTAATTTAATTTTTTTTAATTTTTATTTAATTAATTTTTAATATTCTCTCTTAATTAATTCCCTCATAACTTCCCCTTTCACTCGCTCAAATTAATTTTTATTTTTTTTCAAAAAAATTAACTAGCTGTCACTTCTATTTGCTAACAAATTACTTCAAACCCCTCTCATTCATTAACTTCAAAAAATTAGCTTCTCCCATTCATTATCCCTCACTCTCTTTTATTCGCCCCCGCCTGAATAAATACCTAACTAAATACCCCCTCTCTTTAAATAAATTTGACGTTGGAATCATTTATATTTAGAAATATTTAAATAATTTTTTGGTCTATCTACTCGACCAGAAAAAAAAATAAATTTTTAAATGGGAGGGAGGGGGGAGTAGAAATTAAACTGAAGAAGGGTGGGGAGCTGAAGGAGGGGGGAGCTTGGCTAAACGTCCAAAAAACCGGATGTTTAGCAGAGTAGGAACCCATAAAAGAAAGAAAGGGGGAAAATAGGGGGAAAAGGGAGGAAAGAGGCAAAAAGAGAAACAAAATTCAAATACTAAAAACTGTCAATTAGAAAATAAAAATTGAAAAAAGGAAAGAAAAAGAAACGAAAAAAGAGCACATATTTAAATGTTGGCACTCATTCATTTATTTATATTCTGTTTTGTTGGAATGCCAACATTCATAGCGTCACACACAACAAAAATGCGTGTGCTTGGGTGAACGTTTTTAAATAAAAGGAAAAATGTTAAAGTGTAGAAGGAAGGCTGAGGATTTTTCAAAAAATGTTTTAAGCGTGCCCGCTCAAAACATCAAACTCTTAAAATATCTAGACGAGTAAAAAAGCTCAAAATATCTAGACGGTTAAAGAATCTCAAAATATCTAGACGGCTATAAAATCTAAAAATATATTTTCTTAAAACGTCAAACTCTTAAAATATATTTACGGGTAAAATATCTCAAAATATCAAAATATATTTTTTCAATTAAAAGGGACAGTTGAGTCCGCAGAAAAAAGTTTTCGCCGCTGCGGAGGAAGCCGGGCATGTCGAGCGGAACGACGGCCGCCGCTTCGCTACGGTCGCCGCGAGCGAAGCGAGCACGACCGCAGCGAAGCACGGCCATCGTGTAGCGAAGACCATGCCCGGCCTACCCTCCGTAGCAGCACAAAAACAGTTTTTCCAGCGAAGATTCTGTTGGTCATAACTTTGTTCAGAAGCGTCCAATCGAGCTGATTTTGGTTTCACTTGATTCAGCTCGTCGAACTCATGCAAAATTGGTCCTGAAGTACTACATCTTAAAATATATTCACCCCTGATACAAGGAAGAAATATGGGACTCAACTGTCCCTTTTAATTAAAAAATATATTTTGATATTTTGAGATATTTTACCCGTAAATATATTTTAAGAGTTTGATGTTTTGAGAGAATATGTTTTGAGATTTTTTACTCGTCTAGATATTTTGAGAGTTTGATGTTTTAAGAATTTATGTTTTGTATGGGAGCCGTTTTAAGTGCTTAAGGAAAAAAAGAAAAGAAAATGTTGAAGCTTTTAGAATTAATAGGCTCAATTATTTTTGAGAAAATTTATATAAATTTATTAATGCCGAAAATTAGCATTTAGAAGAAGAGACAGATTTATTTGAGTACACCTCTCACCGGGATATTTTTTCCGGATTTTTTTGGATTTTTGATTCATTTTTTGTTAAAATTGAATAAAAAATGAAATTCAGTATATTTTAGTCAATAAGGCACTAGTGACCCCCCTGACCACAGGGAGGAAACATCACTAGTACCACAAATACATTAAAGGTTCCATTTTATAGTCAAAACTAGTGTAGCATCCCAAGCCTTCGGGGGCGGGAGTGTCATGTTTCAGGGTTTGCCGGGGTAGAGCCTTCGGGGTTCTGGTGACACGGGGCGGGGTTGCTACACTAGTCAAAAGTCCCTGTCTCGTGAATACGGACTTACTGTCGGCCATAAAAATGTTTTGCTAGAGGAAGTATACTTCAAACACGTGGGAAGGTATTTAATACGGATTCATGGTTGATATGAAACTCCTCTTGGACCAAACAAATTTTGCCTTGATCCAAAAAGAATCTTTTTTCAAATCCACTGCCATACAAAAAATAAAAAACAAACCGACCTTTTCTCTTTTTTTTTCTTTTATTTAGTCACGTTTCCCCCTTCCCTCCATTTATTTCTCTAGTTGCTGCCAACCGCATCCACTATTTTTTTAAATTTTTTTTCTTTCTTTCATTTCCCAGTATTGACACTTACGTAAATATATGTACATATATTTATTCATATGCGTGCGCCAAACTTTTCTTTCTCTTTTTTTTCATCTTTTCGATTTTTTAAATTCCCTGCCGTTTCAATTTTTTATATATTTTTCCCCCGCTCGCTCACGTCGATTTTTAATCCGTTTCTTCATTTAAATTTACTTTTTTTTAATTGAGAAAATTTTTTTTATTTGTTTTTAATAATTATTTGTTTTATTACTTATTAACTTGTTAATTATCCCCCTCCATCCTCCCACGTTCCCTTCTCCCATTTTGTCCCCCTCACCATTTTATGTGTATCGGGGATCCTGCCGTTTCAACTCTCGAATATTGTGAATTCCCGGCGTTTTTTGTTAGGGAATCTCGACGCCCAAAATTGACAATTTTATTTTTTATATCGGCGGGATTCCTGATATAAAAATATTTTTGGGATATTTTAATCGTTTACATAGCTATAGGCACGCCAAGCTCCTTCGGAGACTTTCGGGAATCACTTTAAAAAGTCCGGAAAACGCCCATTTTAATCGCTAAACCCTTCGGGAAATCCCCCCACCCTCTCTACCCCCCCCCCTGCAAATTAAAATACCAATTTAAAAATTAAAATTCCCGAGCTTAAACAATCAATTCAATTTCGTCATTATATTACATCTTTATATAAAAAAATTTTTCTTCACTATTTTCTATCAATTACACAATCTTTGTTTAATTAAATTAGTGAGAAAAAAATATTTCTTAAGAAATCAAACAAAATCAAGTAATTACTTACTAATTTGTCTTCTCTAAAACGGAAATTGTTAAAAATTAAGGTTTGGTCTCTCTTTAAATTAAACTCTTTTTAATTTACTCATCTCTCCAAGTTGTTAATTAATTAATTTTATATAATTTATTTATTTGACTAACAACAACATTAATTTGTCCAAATAATATTTTCAACTATGGTATCTTTTTTTTTAATTTCCGTATTTTTTTTGCTACAGAAATTTTTTATTCTTTATTTTAAAGAATTAAAGTTGTGTTTTTATTTTGTCCTAAAAATGGCCATAATTTTTTTGTTCAAACATCCATTTAGGTATATTGGTTTTTAAATGTTTTAATTAAATTCTGGTTTTGTGTGTTTTATTTAAAGTTTCAATTTTGAATAGGCTTCAGTTTCAGTTTTCTAAACATATATCATAGCCCTCCTGCCATCCCGAACTTTTCCTAAAATTCCAGAAAATCGTGAATTACAATATTTTTTCATTCGGGAATCTCGATTCTTAAAGCAGCAATTTATCTTTTTTTATGTTAGCAGGATCCCTGTTAAGTATGAATAAATTAAAGGAAAACTAATTTTAGTATATCAATATGGATGCCCTAAAAATTTTTTTGATTTCTTAAAAATATCATTTAATTTTTAAAATATTTAAAAATATATTTTTTACCTTTTCTAAATACAATATTTTATTTTCTCTTCGACCTCCATTTATCTTTTTATACCTTCTCACGCATTTTTCAAAACTTTTTGCTTCGGCCGCCCTTTCCGCCCATTTTACTCTAAAATTGTTTTTCTTTCCGTTCAAACGTCCATTTTATATTTTCTTTTTTGCTCGTTTTGTCGGTTAACTAGATGTATTTTAAAAAAATATTTTGGTGGCCATCAGTCGCCATTTTATTTTATTGTTTGTGTGACTTCATTTTTAATATTAAAAGAAATTTGTGTTTTAGTTTTTCTGGTCTAAAACACAAAAATGTTCGGAGTTCTGATTTTTAAATGTTTTAATTTTATTCTGATTTTTATACCAACATCTTATTTAAACTTGTTTTTGTGTTTTGTTTGAATTCTGATTTTTGTGTTTTGTTTAAATTCTGATTTTTGTGTTTTTGTTTAAATTCTGATTTTTGTGTTTTGTTTAGATTCTGATTTTTGTGTTTTGTTTAAATTCTGATTTTTGTGTTTTATTTAAATTCTGATTTTTGTGTTTTGTTTAGATTCTGATTTTTGTGTTTTGTTTAAATTCTGATTTTTGTGTTTTTGTTTCTTTGTTTTTTTCAACTTTAATTGCAACTGTGTTTTTTTATCTTTTTATGTTTTGTTTGAAATTGATGTTTTGTATTTTTGTTTTAAAACATTAATTAATATTTTAATCTTTTAAAATCAAAAATACATTATTTTGAAATTAATTTACTAATTTCCGTTTCATGGTCGAAAAATGAATAATAAATATTAATGCATCACAAATCTGTTGTTAAAAATATTTTTTTCTTGTAATGCGATGCTAATTCAATTTTTTAAAATTATATATCATATTTCTTTGTTTTTTTATTAAAAATAAAAGATTATAATTTTATTAAAAATTTAATAAAAATATTAAAAATTAAATTTTTAAAAATAATTTCTTTATTTTTCTTTATTTTACATTTTTTCCGTTTCCATGTTTAATGACGTAAGTTAATAAACTTTAACTACTCTTTGCTTATTATAGTATTTCATGTTTTTATTTCTGCTTTTGTTTTTTCTATAAACATTTACTTTTTCTCTTATAGGTTGTGTGTTTTGTATTTTGGTTTATTCATGTTTTGTTCACATACCGTTTCCTGTTTTATTTGATATTCTGAAAACAAGTTTGGGTTTCTTTGATAAAGTTTATTTTATCTTTTTATTCTGTTTTTGTGTTTTATATTTTGTTTTTGTTTAAATGTTTTAATTAAATTCTGGTTTTCTTTGTTTCATATTGTTTTATTTAAATTCTGATTTTTCATTTGAATTCTGATTCTGTGTTTTTGTTAAAGTTTAGTTTGTGTTTTATTTGAATTCTGGTTTTTTTGTATTTTGCTTAAGTTTTAATTTTTTGTATTTTTTCTTTTGTATTTTACTTGTTATTTAAATAAACTTTATTATTTTAACTTTATTCAGCATTAACTTTTTTCCTAATTGCCTGCTTACAAACAGGAGATTTAAAAATTCCACGCAACCAAATAAATAAATATTTTTTATTATTAATAATAATATTCTTTAATGAACACATATGTATTTGCCTTAAAAGTATTTATATTTCCTTTAATTTAAAAATTTTTTTATTTTGTTTTTGTGTTGCCATGTGAGCGAATTCGACTTAAATTAAATTTTTTTCATTATTTTTTATTTTTTAAGAACACGTAATTTTTAAAAAAAGTTCCTTTTTATACATATTTTATTCGTTGTTTATTATTATTTAGGATTTTTCTTCAAAAAAGTTTTTTTTTAATTTTTTCTAAAAAAATTATTTTTTTCAATTAAAAAAAAATTTTTTTTTTGATTTTTAATTAAAAAATTATTTTTGCAAAAAATTTTTAATAAAATTAAATTTACTATTTTTTATCTAATTTATTAATTTCTTCTACTTAAATTCATTTTTACTCATTTCCGCTAATTAATTTAAATTTTAATTTTAATTAAAAAATAGTTTTTTTAGTTATTATAATATTAAAAATTTTTAATTTGCCCAAAAATTATTAAAATAAAGAATATTAGAGATGTCGCATTTCCCATTAATGGCAGCAAGATTGCCTCCAACACAACCTCAACAACAACAACAATTTACTATACCAACAACAACAGTCCATTGTAATCTGTCTTCATTACGACCGCCTGTTCAGGTTTGATCAAGTTTATTTTGTGTTTTGTTTGTGTTTTGTTTAAGTTCTGATTTTTGTTTTATTAAAATTCTGTTTTGGTTGTTTGAATTTTGTTGTATTTTATTTAAATTCTGATTTTGTGTTTTAATGTTTTATTTAATTCTGGTCTTGTGTTTTATGTTTTGTTTAAATTCTGATTTTGTTTTTATTCGAATTCTGGTTTTGTTTTATTTTAGTTCTGACTTTATGTTTTATTTAAATTATACTTTTTGTTTAATGTTTTTATTTGTTTATTGTTTTTGTGTTTTGTATTTCTGTTTTTATTTTTTTTGTGTTTTATTTAAATTCTGATTTTTGTTTTATTTGTTCTGTGTTTGTTTCAAAAACATATACATATATAATTTTTATAAATTAAGATGAACAACTTCAACAATAACAACATCAACAACAATGTTTCTAATAATAATAACAACATTCCTTCTTCAACATCAACATCAGTATTCAATCCAAACTCTTCAACATTTTTAAATAATTCAACAAATAAATTTGTTTCCCCCAATTATTCTTCTTTTCATGAACGTCCTACTGCTCAACTTCGACGGGCTTCGTCTGCTTCAGCTTGTAAATTTGCTGTTGATCGATTAAATAATTGTAATAATGTTGGTAATAGACCAGCAAGTTTACAACATCATGAATTACTTTTTTATGAAAAACCCCAAATTTCTTCTCAACAACAATTTAGTGAAAGGAGAGCATCAATAACACAACAACAGCAACAACCTCTTTTACCTCCTTTACGTAAATTTGAAAATTTGGAATTTAAATCAATGGAAGAGAAGGAAGAGGAAGAAGAAAGGCGTAGAAGAAGTTATAGTAATAGTGGAATTTTAACAAAAACAGAAATGGTTATAGATGCTGACAAAAAACTTGAAATTTTACAAAATCAAAGAATTGCGTTGAAACAATTACAAAGTCAACAACAGCAAGGAGAAGGGGTGTTACAGGCAAGTTATTTTGTTTTACCTTAAAACTTGAAACTTTTCCGGAAAGAATATAACTCAGAATATAACTAAAAAATTAAATCAGAATTCGTAATTCAAGTAATAAATCAGAATTTGTAATTTAAGTAAATCAGAATTTGTAATTTTAGGTAAATCAGAATTTGTAATTTTTGTAATTTTAAGTAAATCAGAATTTGTAATTTTAAGTAAATCAGAATTTGTAATTTTAAGTAAATCAGAATTTGTAATTTTAAGTAAATCAGAATTTGTAATTTAAGTAAATCAGAATTTGTAATTTTAAGTAAATCAGAATTTGTAATTTTAAGTAAATCAGAATTTGTAATTTAAGTAAATCAGAATTTGTAATTTTAAGTAAATCAGAATTTGTAATTTTAAGTAAATCAGAATTTGTAATTTTAAGTAAATCAGAATTTGTAATTTAAGTAAATCAGAATTTGTAATTTTAAGTAAATCAGAATTTGTAATTTTAAGTAAATCAGAATTTGTAATTTAAGTAAATCAGAATTTGTAATTCTGACTGTTTACAAGTCTATTAACACTCAAACCGCCCCCTTAATATCTAATTTGAACCCTTCCTTTATTTTTTCTTAACATTCTTCACAAATAAATACATAAATATTTTTATTTTTAATCCTTTGCGGATATACTATATGTTCATTACACATAGTTATCGTTAAAAAAATTTTTCTGGCTTAACATTTTAACTTTTTCACTCTCTATCGCGCTAGATATACTACTAAAGGATTATAAATAATACGTAAAAAATGTAGAAAGTACTTTATGCCTTTTTGTTTTTTAATATTTTATAGTAGAAAAAAATGTCGATTCGCCCCTTAAAAATATTTTCGTTTAAGATCTCTGATTTTTATTCCAAATAAATTTTTAAAATATTTAAGCATAATTCTATGGATCAATTACACAACTCTTCTCCATTATCTCAACGTCGTAATAGCACAAGCTTAATTAATCACAAAACTGTTGTAATTAATGGTAGCAATGAATGTCATTTTTCCAATGCTATTTCTTCGCCGCCCTCGTTGACTACTAAAGGTATTTAATCTTGAAATCAGAATTTGTAAAATATAACAAATCAGAATGAATAACAAAAAATATAATTTTGTAAATTAATCAGACTTTGTAAATCAGAATTTGTAAAATGTAAATTTACATTTATCAGAAAATTACAATTTTGGATCAGAATTTTACAGATCAGAACTTTCAGAATTTTAAGTCAGAATTTCTTTGTTAAGAATTTACAAATCAGAATTTTTATTTTTTTAAATCAGAATTTGTAAATATTAAATAAATACCAGAATTACAATTTACAAATACGATTTTCAGAATTTTTAAATCAGAATTTATTAAAATTAAACTAATACAATTTTACAAATCAGAATTTGTAATTTAAAAATACATTTACCATTTTTATAGCAGAAATTCTACCACCTACAATAACTAACTATAACAACACAAATAACAACAATTTAGTTTCACCTGTCTCCTCATCTTCTGCCATTTCTTTAGCAGTTTCGGCACTTTTTGGTTCTTCTACTAGTACACAAGACAATTCGACTTGTTTTAATTTAAATTCTGAACGTAATAATTTATCATCAAATGACTCCAATGTTACTCTCTGGCAATTTTTGTTGGAATTATTAACTGCTAACGAGCATCCTCATCTGATACAATGGACTAATAATGAAGGGGAATTTAAGGTAAAATTGGAAATTTAATTGGAACTTTAAAAATCAGAATTTGTAAAAATGAAAGTTTAAAAATCAGAATAGATCAGAATTTCTATTTTCAGAATTTTATAAATCAGAATAAATCAGAATTTTTACTTAAAATAATTTTTTCTTCTCTTTTAAGCTTCACGACGCCGAAGCAGTTGCTCGTTTATGGGGAATTCGTAAAAGTAAACCAAACATGAATTATGATAAATTAAGTCGAGCACTCCGTTACTATTATGACAAAAATATAATTAAAAAAGTTATTGGACAAAAATTTGTTTATCGTTTTGTTATGGAAAATAATGGAGGAAATGGGGGAGGGAAAATGTTAGAAGGTGGAGAATCTCGCCCAAATTCAGAATTATTAATGAATGCAAAACAACAGCAACAATTACAATTATTAGTGAATAATAAAAAGGAAGCAACAAATAATACAACGGCTATGGATAGATTATCGGCTTTTGAATGTAAAAAATAGGAATTATTTTTTAATAAATTTAGGAAAAAATTTTTTACAGGCCTTGCACCGACACCAATGCAACACCAAAGGAATGCTTCTGGTAATAGACATAATAACAGTATATTAACTCCGTCTCCTTCAGACAGGTAATTTTTTATTTTGAATTTTAATTACAATTGTAATTTTATAAAAACCAGAATTAAATCATAAATGAAGTATTAAAAATTCAGAATTTTATTACGTAACATTAAAAACCAGAATTGTAATTTTTAATGTATCAGAATTTTGCATTTGTAAAAAATTTGCAACTGCAATATTAGAATCAGAATTAAAAAATCAGAATTAATAAAATAATCAGAATATTACAAATTGTAATTTTATAAATCAGAATTAATTAAAAAATCAGAATTTTACATATACCTAATTGTAATTCTATAAAATCAGAATTAAACAATCAGAATTTTACATATAATTGTAATTTTATAAAATCAGAATTTGTAAATTAAAATCAGAATATATTACTAATTATGTTTGCTTCTATTAATTTATAGTTATAGCCCTTCTGGTAGTGTTGAAAGTAGTAGCGGTGTTAGTAGTGGAAGTTGCCTTAGTTCTTTTAACGGAACAGGGATTTGTCAAATAAAAATGGAGCCTACATCTTCTTGTTTTCAACAACAACAACAATATGTTTCAGCTCCAATGTTACCTTCAAATTCTGAAAAATTAATTGTTAATGGAAGTAGTAAGGGAACACGGAAACGTAGAAGTCCTTCAGATAAACACCAGAATAATTTGCCAGTAAAGCAACATTCTCCACCTAATGGAAGACATGTATCATGGATAAATTCGGGAACAGCATTTTCAGCTTCTGTTGATATTGCTAATAATAATGGTGATTTTTAATCAGAATTTAAATTATCATTGTTATATTAAAAATCAGAATTTTTGTAGATTCTGATTATTAAAAATCAGAATTTAAAATTCTGGTTTTTTAAATCAGAATTTTAATTACAGTGAACATATTAAAATCATAATTTTTTCTAAATTCTGATTAAAATCAGATATAAAAATCAGAATTTTATATACTATTAGAATTTTTAAATTCTGATTTTTAAAACCAGAATTTTATAGATCAGAATTTATAAAATTCTGATTATTAAGAATCAGAATTTTAAAATTTTTTAAAATTTATTTTATATTAGACTCATATTCATCAATGACTTCCATCGACCAGCGTCGAAATAGTAGCCAAGATGATCAACATCAAGGTTCTGCACCCAAAATAGGCTGTACATCAAATACAGGTACTTTACATAATTTTGAAACATTTTTTAAAAATTTTATTTTTAAAGGTCCTTCTCTTTGCCGTCGTGCTCGTCCACACCCTCTTGACCTAACTTGTGTAAATAATGCAACAGACACAAATTCATGTAGCAACAGTACATCAACAACTACAGGGGGAGGAGGAGGAACTTCTTCAACTACATCTACTAATCATTTAATTTCTGGCAATAATAATAATATTCCTCAAAATTCTTCACTTTTAAATAATTTAAATAATCAAATGGTAGCATCTTCCCCTTTACTTTTTGCTCTACAACAACAACAAAATAATCCTCAAAATAGTCCTTTACTTTCTGCAGCAATTTCAGCGTTAAGTAATTATACTGGAGGAGCGTCTCCTTTAGCAGGAACTGGACTTGCTTCACCTTTCACTCAAGCTGCTGCAGCGTTTCAATTGGCAACAAATTTTGTTGCTAGTTTGAGTCCAAATGGTAAGAATTTTAAAATAATAAATCAGAAATCAGAAAAAAATCAGAAAGAATCAGAAATCGGAAAAAAATCAGAAAAAATCAGAAATCAGAAAAAAATCAGAACAAAATCAGAAATCAGAAAAAATCAGAAAAAAGTCAGAAAAAAAATCGGAAATCAGAAAAAAATCAGAAACTTAGAAATTACATTTTAGTTTCGACAACAACTAGCAACAATTCAAATAATAACAATAGAAGCATAAATAATTCTATTAATTCAACTTTAACTCCATCAACAACAACTACAATAATAACATCTACAAATATCCCAGTTTCAACAACATCAACAACTACACCACTTTTTAATTTCCCTAATAATACTCAACAACAAAATAATGATGAAATATTTAATAGATCAAAGAATCTGGCTTTTAATAATGCTTCTATTACAAATGCTGTTACTACTTCGCAAACAACTCAGTATAATAATAATACAAGTTTCTATAGTCAATTACACAGTGCTTTAACTACGCCGTTAGGAAATCAGGTACTAATATTTTTCCGGAATTTACAAATTCTGAAAATACAAACTTGAAACCTTTTCCGGAATTTACAAATTCTGAAAATACAAACTTGAAACCTTTTCCGGAATTTACAAATTCTGAAAATACAAACTTGAAACCTTTTCCGGAATTTACAAATTCTGAAAATACAAACTTGAAACCTTTTCCGGAATTTACAAATTCTGAAAATACAAACTTGAAACCTTTTCCGGAATTTACAAATTCTGAAAATACAAACTTGAAACCTTTTCCGGAATTTACAAATTCTGAAAATACAAACTTGAAACCTTTTCCGGAATTTACAAATTCTGAAAATACAAACTTGAAACCTTTTCCGGAATTTACAAATTCTGAAAATACAAACCTGAAACCTTTTCCGGAATTTACAAATTCTGAAAATACAAACTTGAAACCTTTTCCGGAATTTACAAATTCTGAAAATACAAACTTGAAACCTTTTCCGGAATTTACAAATTCTGAAAATACAAACTTGAAACCTTTTCCGGAATTTACAAATTCTGAAAATACAAACTTGAAACCTTTTCCGGAATTTACAAATTCTGAAAATACAAACTTGAAACCTTTTCCGGAATTTACAAATTCTGAAAATACAAACTTGAAACCTTTTCCGGAATTTACAAATTCTGAAAATACAAACTTGAAACCTTTTCCGGAATTTACAAATTCTGAAAATACAAACTTGAAACCTTTTCCGGAATTTACAAATTCTGAAAATACAAACTTGAAACCTTTTCCGGAATTTACAAATTCTGAAAATACAAACTTGAAACCTTTTCCGGAATTTACAAATTCTGAAAATACAAACTTGAAACCTTTTCCGGAATTTACAAATTCTGAAAATACAAACTTGAAACCTTTTCCGGAATTTACAAATTCTGAAAATACAAACTTGAAACCTTTTCCGGAATTTACAAATTCTGAAAATACAAACTTGAAACCTTTTCCGGAATTTACAAATTCTGAAAATACAAACTTGAAACCTTTTCCGGAATTTACAAATTCTGAAAATACAAACTTGAAACCTTTTCCGGAATTTACAAATCATAATCAGAAATTGTAAAATAAATAAAAAATATTACAATTCTGATAGTATTTTCTCGTCTTATTTTTCACAATTCTGACAGTTTTACAATCCATATAATTTAACACTTTAAAGGTTCGAACACCACAGCAAAGCTTCTCCAATTCTGCTGTGATTTCTGCAATGATCAACCATCTTACAAACGGTCCAAATACTCCTTTTGCACAACAACAACATCTTCAACAACAACAACAATCACTATTTCAATTTCCTCCATCTTCAAATATGGCTATAGCTCATACATTGGCTATCTTATCTTCACCTGGTAATTCCTGTTTTTAATTAGAAAATTTATTTAAAAATACCGGCATTTATTTAAAAATGCTGAGAAAACTTATACTGAGGTATCTTAAACTGGAGGTGACTTATAATGAGGTGTCTTTTAAATAGGGGGTATCTTATAATGGGCGTATCTTAGATAGAGGGTATCTTATTATAATGAAGACTGTATTTTAATCATTTTTTCTACAGGACTTCCATTAAATGGACAATCACCATTTCCATTTGTCAATCAAATGGCAGCACTCCAAACACCAAAATTTTCAACGGCTAATCTACTCCCAGGCAGTGCTGCTGCTTTAACGGCTGCGTTAACTGCTGCTCAACGTTCTCCAGATTCATTGAAGACACCGATGGGCGGGTTTAGTTTTGAGTTTGGACAAGCATTAGCTGCTGCACAAATAGCTGCTGCTTCAAATAAAAAGTTTGAATAGGAAAAAATAATTTTTCTCAAAAAATTTTTTTATTTTAAGATGACAACAACAAAAATTCAATGACTTCTTTTTCGTCTCTCTAAAATTCTATAGTATATAAACAACAACAACAAACAAACAGACAACAAACAAACATCAGAAAAACAAGAGAAAAACAAATAAATTTGTGTGTTTTTCTTTTAAAATAGAAACACACAAACATTGTTTTTAACAAACTTTTGTGTTTTTCTTTTAAATAAGAAACACACAAACATTGTTTTTAACAAACTTTTGTGTTTTTCTTTTAAATAAGAAACACACAAACATTGTTTTTAACAAACTTTTGTGTTTTTCTTTTAAATAAGAAACACACAAACATTGTTTTTAACAAACTTTTGTGTTTTTCTTTTAAATAAGAAACACACAAACATTGTTTTTAACAAACTTTTGTGTTTTTCTTTTAAATAAGAAACACACAAACATTGTTTTTAACAAACTTTTGTGTTTTTCTTTTAAATAAGAAACACACAAACATTGTTTTGATGCGGGTGTTTATACAAACAAACAGACATACTTTTTTATTATTTGTTGTTTTTGAGACTTTATATTTCTTGACACACATATATAACAATACATTTTAAAAATTTATTTTTTATTTTTTGCATTTAAAAAATTATTATTATTTTTCATTTTAAATTTATAAAGCCCAAAAAATTTTATTTTATTTATGTATATATCCTCTTTTAATTTATTTTTTTAAAAAATCATTTTTTTCTCTCTGTTAGAGTATTTATATTCATTCACTTTTGTATTTTTTCTTATTTGTTCTGAATTTTACAAATAAAATATCAGAATTTTTAAACTTTTTCAGAATTATTAAATAAATGAACTTAGAATTATTGAATAAATTGATTAAAAAGCTTAAATAGAATTTTTATTGGAAAAATCAGAATTTTCAGAATTTTTACAAGTTTGTAATTTTGGAAAAAAAAAGATTGTAATCTTGATGCAAATGTTGAAAAGTCAATGTTAATTTAGTGAAGAGGAATAAATACAAATGAATATTACAGCTAAACTTTAAGATACCCCCTCTCTTAGGTAAATCATAATTTATAACGATGTTTCTCTTATAATGGGGTCTCTTAAATAGAGGGTATCATTTAGGCAGCTTCCCCGTCCAGTAGTCAAACAATCCATTAATTGGGGTTAGTATCAGGGGTGTGCCGAAACGGATTTTAAAAAGCGACACGCGAAACGCTAAAGTCCAAAAAACGCGAAAATCCGCGAAAGGCGAAACGCAAAACTCGCACACCCCTGGTTAGTATCTAGTATTGGGGATATCTAAAAATGAGGTTCGAGTATAAAATCTGCTGAAGGAGGGTACCTCCAAAGCTCTTCTAGAAGATTTCTCAACGATATATTTTATTTAAAAAAATTCTTCCCATCTTTCTTGAAAGCTTTAAAGGTCCAAAGTACATTTTACAAAGCTACATGTTAGTACGCAATAGCACGCTTTTCATATATTTTTTTACATTTCCATCGCCCACCACATACTCATCTCTTTCCCCCACGAGGTCGTCGTCCCCAAGATTACTTTTTGCATTATTTTTTATTTGTTGTATTTAGTTCTTTGAAGTCCTTTCTTTTAAAGAAAAGTCGTGGAAAAATTTTCTTCTGCCAGCCGTTTTTTTACTTTTATTTTAGAATTTTTGCCTAAAAGTCAACACATTTTTGTTAAGTTTTAGATTCAGTCCCCCTCTACAATCTATCAACTAACAAAAATTAGAGGAGGGTCAGAATTCTGATTTTCACCTCAAATTTCAGACGCTTCCAAGCAGAATCAGGGCGTCGGGTTGAGAATAAAAAATCGGGGCGGGTTTCGGATCGGGTTAAAAAAGACCGGGGTTTCGAGTAACCGAGTCCATGCCTACATGGATCGTCCATGCCACATCATGCCACATCTATGTCCATGCCACGCCACATCCTCCATCCCTTAAGCATAATCGTTCTCTGACGATAATATAGGAACAATTTTAAACATAATGTGATTTTCTGACATATTTAGCCTGTTTCAGAGCTTAATAGGGGTTCTATCAATAATATTCTATTTATCTACACGAATTTAATTTTTTTAATTTCAAAAAAGTTTCTTTTAAATAAATATTTTATTTAAACTGCAGCTGCAAATTAAAAAAAAAGAATTGTTCCTTCTACTTCTACACCTCCCACTCCCTTTTTGCTTAAGCATAATTTCTGAGCCTTTTTCTGATCCCTTGTTGCTATAAATTATTTATAAATTTATTCTCTCCTATTTTCTAATATAAGAAAATTACATATAAAGGAATTTTAAAAAATAATTTTTTAAGAGTCCAAAAGTTTAAAATACATTTATTTAAATATAAAAATAGTGTATTTAATCCCTAAGCTTAATTTAGTAGTAATCCCTTAATTTGAAATTAAAAAAGGGAGTTTATTAATTCGGTAACGCACCCTTCTATAATTTCCCTCACAATCAGAACTCTCCATTTTCTTAAATGGCAAATTAATTGGTCCGAAAGGGTGATATATGGTAGAGAGAAGGGATGTTCGGGTATCCCGATCCCGAGGCCATTTCCCGACCTGACTCCCGGGTTTTTTCTTCTCCCGAACATCACTAGTAGAGAGAAGGGAGGCCTTACCGCATTTTAAAATGGTGAAGACGGAAAGCAGAAGACGGAAGTGCCAAAAAAGTAAGCGCAAGCCTAAAGGCGGAAACAACCAGCCGATCCCTGGTAGAGAACTTCCTACTGAACACAATTTCAATAATAAAAAATCAGACTCAAATGGATAGAGGCGGAAAAGGAAATTATCTCTCTCTCTCATTATCTATTGCCACTTCGCAAAAACCACAAGACTAGAAAAATAAATAAAACATAACTTTTCTCTCCCTATTTTATTTTATTCTGTTAAGTATTGAACCTTTTTTTATCATTTATTAAATACTGATCTCTACTATTTACTATGTAGCAATTAAATAATCAACCATTCTTATTTCTTTTTGCCTAGTGTTGTTTACCCCCCATAGTCCAAAAAATCAGAGATTTTCAAATGGAATATCTTTGATTTTTCTTGCTAAGACTCAAAAAGCCAATAATTTTTTGAACGGAAAAGGATTTTTGAGTCTTGGCAAAAAATTTCAAAAAAGATCCATTAGAGTCTGAACTAGTCAGAAAAATAAGAATAAGACTCTAATTAGTTGTTTAATTGATTTTCTATTTTTTAAACTCAAAAATACTCTCTTCTCTTTTTATTTTTACGTATTTATTAAATTGTTTCTTTTCTTCTAATTTATTTTCTTTTATTTTATTTTTTCTCTTTAAATATTTTTATTTTTCTCGTCCCCATTTTATTAATTTTTATTGGGCACAGCATTCGCTTTTTTACCCAGTAATCTTTTGCCTCTCTTCTCATATTCTTTCCAATCTTATCAATATTTTAATAATTTTATTTAATTTTTGTGTTAATTTTGGTTAATACCTAAAAGAGCCCATTTTTCTTTATTTTTTGGAAGATCATGGGGGGTAAACAACATTAAAAAAATTTTTTTCTTTAAATTTTCTTGTGGTCGTTTTGGGCACTTCTACTTTAGCTGTTTTATTTAGAACCTTAAAAAGAATCTTACTAGTCTCCCTAACCTTTTGTTGTTGTGTTAATCTACTGTTAATCAATAGAAAATTAAATTTCCTTTCCTCTTCTTCTTGTTTTAATAGTTTAACCTTTTGATAGTTACCTTAGGACTTGTGTAGGTAAAATTAAAAGGGGAAGTGTAGTGGAAGGAAGACAATAATGGCCCTAAACGTTGACAGTATTAACCTAAATTTTTTTCTTAAAATTTTTGGAAGCAGGCCATGGGGGGTAAACTACACTAGGATCCTTTGTCTTTTTCTCGGAAAGGGGAAAAGTGTAGTGGTGGGGAAGTAGAACTTAAAGAAAGAAATTTCCCTGAATGTTGACTGTATTAACTCTAATTTTTCCTTCTTGTCTTTGTGAAGTGGGCCATGGGGGGTAAACTACACTAAGCTCCTTTTTGCTTTCTTTTTTGTCTTTTCCTCGAAAAATTTCAAGCATGTAGAATAAAAAGCGAAGAAACGTTGACAGTATTAGCTACTAATTTTTCTTCAAAATTTTTTGGAACTGGGCCATGGGGGGTAAACAACACTAGGGTCCTTTTTGCTTTCTTTTTGTCTTTTTCGTGGAAATTTTCAAAAAAAAATTTTTCAAAAAATTCTTAAAAGAAAAAACACTTGAGTGACGTTCAAACCATCTCTTTTTTTGCATAAAGCAGCAATTTTAGCAATAAAAATAAATTCTCTGAAAAAGCTAGGTAGTAGTCAGTATATTTATTTACACACCCAAACCATTCTTTTCTCTTTCTCTCTTCGTTTATCTATCAAAAAAGAATTTTTTTAGTTTATTGACTAGTTTTGTTCAATAATTTATTTTTTAATTTTTATTTGGCTTTCCAAAAGATCGAAAACCTTAAATTAATTTTTTTAATTTTAAGGATAATTAATTTAATTTATTATCCTTATTTAATTAAATTTTATTTATTTCTTCGGAAAACATCACTGACTTTTTATTTGACAACAAATTTAAAAAGGTTTCTTGGGGGTTTCAGACTGGGTAGAACGAGACCGTTTAATTAGAGGTTTATTTTCCCCTATGGCGGACTTTTCCCTTCTCTCTTCTCTTTTTGCCCCGCCACAGGGAAAAATAAACGAGGAATTAAACGGTCTCGTCCTACCCTATTTCAGACGTCGCGTTTTTTCTTTAAAATTTCTTCCCTACTTCCTTCTCTTGTTTTACTTCCCCCTAAATTTTTTTTGAAATTCCTCATAGGAAACGACCACCTTCTCTTTAAATTGTTGAGGGGGATGTTGCGTCATTCACCTATTTTTTGTTGGTCTTTTATTGACCTTATTAAAACGTGTTAAACAAGGAAGGGACTATACTTGTTTACTTCCCACGTTTCAGTTAAAAAACTCCTCTTAGGAAACAAACACCTTCCCATAAAATTGTGGGAGGAGGGGAGGGGTGAGGTTGCGTCACTAAGGGTCTATTTTTCCTGTTTGTTTGTTTTCTTGTCCTTTATTTGACCTTATTTTGAATAGGGGTAAACAAGAAAGGAGAAGAAGGAGGAAGTGCGGGAAGATTTTTTTGAAGGAAACCGCGACAGCTTTCAAGGATTCTAAAAATTTTTTTATTTTTCTAGACAACGACTCAAAGGATGGACTATCCAACAGAACAACAACTTCCAGTTGAAGTTCGCGATATCGTCAAGAAATTTCGTGTTCCAGTTGACCGCTTGAAAGTAATTTCTGATGATATGGTTGCTGCAATGAAGAGGGGCTTGGAAAGTGGAAGTGGACGTCAGTCGTCGATTGGAATGCTTCCGTCTTTTGTGCCTGCTTTGCCTGATGGGACTGGTATTTTTTTAGAATTAATTTTTGGGACTTGTAAGGGACAGAGGTGCCTGGGGTTGTGAACTTTTTTCGGATTGGTACTTTTCCGTTCTGCCACACCCCCCTAAATTAATGGTCAAAATGTCATATATAGTGTAAAAAAAGGTGCTGAGTCCAACGGTACCACTCTTTTTCCCCGGAGATGCCTTTGGACCGAAATATTATGCTCGAAATGGTCAAAAACCATAGCTCAATTTTGAGATAAAAAATTCAAATATGCAAATAATAACTCATTCGAAAGAGCTCGTGGAGCTGAGTCGAAAGACATCAAAATCAACGAAATCTTATTTGATTTGACCGAGATACAGGTCCCTGAAAATTAAAGAACCACACACATTTTTGTATCATAACTTGGTCCAAACTTGTTAGACCGCGGTGATTTTGATGTCTTTCGACTCAGCTCCATGAGCTCTTTCGAATGAGGTATTATTTGCATATTCAAATTTTTTATCCCAAAATTGAGCCTACTCCCCCCTATGGTTTTTGACCATTTCGAGCATAATATTTTGGTCCAAAGGCATCTCCGGGGAAAAAGAGTGGTACCGTTGGACTCAGCATCTTTTTTTACCCTATATATGACATTTTGAGCATTAATTTAGAGGGGTGTGGCAGAACGGAAAAGTACCTTCGGATTTTTTGTTTTGGGGTTGCCTTTTCCGTTCAATTACTTTTGGGGAACAAACGGAATCCTTCAGTCTTTTCTGGCCTAATTTATGAATGTTTGGCTGATGGCACCTTCAACAGGAAACTGGGAAAGATAGGAGGAAAAGTAATAAGCAGGTTCACAAAAAAGTCCCCCTCTATGTTTTCTGGAATACTTAATTACATGGGTTTCCCACAAATGTGAATTTTATTTCTTCCACTTGTAGGAAAAGGTTTACGTTTTTGAGGACTTTCCTTATGGGCCTTTCCTTACAGATCCTTTGTGGATTTTATTTAAATAAATAATTTTTTTTTACTTTAAAGAGATTGGCAATTATTGTGCTATTGACTTAAGCGGCAAAAATTGTCGCATTCTTTTGGTTGTGTTTGAAGGTCCAGGTCATGAGCCTGTTAAGGACATTCAGAATTTTGTTGTGCCTAAACAGGTTATGACTGGAACTGGGGAGCAGCTTTTTAATTTTATTATCAATTCGCTGAAAAAGGTTTTTTTATTTTTCATATTTTTTAGTAGAGGGCCAATACCAGATTAAGTCCTATAGGTAAACATGTTTACTTGAAGGAAACAAAAAGTGACTGCAAATTAGGCGAAGTCGTCATCGCCTGAGCGTGGTGGGAGGGGGGGGGAGCTAGCAATACCGGTGGGCAATGTCAGGAAAAAATTAGGCCTATGGTCCCTGACTTCCTCTTTTTCCTTCAAAGAAACAAAGGAGGAATCACCGTTTTATCTCCTTCAAATAGGTAAGGAATTGGTTAGTCGTTTAATTATCTTTTGCAGCTTAATGTTGTTTACCCCCCATAGATGTATTAAAATCATTTAAAACTTCTTGGTTTTTAAAGGTTTTGCGCGATGCCAAAGTTGAAGATCAAACATTTCACATTGGCTTTGTTTTCTCATTTCCTTGCGAATTAACCTCTATTCGTGAAGCTCGTCTTCTTTGGTGGACAAAAGGGTTTAATATCCCAGACTGTTTGCAAAAGGATATGGTTACTCTTTTGGATGATGCTTTGGAGTTGAGTATGACTGTTAAGGTTTGGAAAATTTTTTTTGAGTTTTTTGTGTCTGTTAGAGAGGTTTGGATATTTGCTCCGTAAATGGGTAGATTATTGCCTTTTTTCTGCTTCAATGTCCTCTATTCTTTTTTTTTTGAGACAGTAGAGGGAAAGGTAACACATTAGGGCATTTTTGATACCTTTGTCTTAAAGACAGACTTGGTAAATGTATTACAACCTAAAAGATTTTTGACCACTCCTAGTCTCCCCTTGACCACATCTAGTCTCCAAACCTTCCCCAAATCTTCCACAAAAATTCCAGAAGTCAATTTTTTGTCGGGTCACTTGCTATTGTTTTGTAAATTCTAATGAAATAATTTCTTTTTATAGGGCAGAGTCAAAGCCATTATGAATGACACTGTTGGACAGCTTGCAGCATCACATGCAAAATATGGAGATGAATGTATCGCTGCTTGTGTTATTGGATATGGGTATTTTTTTGAAATAAATTTTGAAAATTTTTTTGATTTTAAGTTGCAATTCTGCATATTTGGAGGATGTTAAGAATATTAAAAAGTTTGATCCGGAAGAGTTCAACTACAGACATGAGAAAATGGTTGTAGTGACTGAATGGGAGGAATTTGGACGTCGAGTTGGTTTTTTTGAATTTATTTGTTAGGGAGGGGAAAGGCTGGGTGCTATTTGGGGGTTTTGCAAGGGTATTTAGAACATCTATAAGAGAACAGCTGTTCTTGTTAGTCGCTACTGATAGAGCCACGGGGCAGCGGAAGAAACGGTTGGTCTAGAAACTTTCGCAGCCTTGTAACTATTAATGGCTCCAAAGACGATTTTGTTGATTATCGATTTCTTCTAAAAATTTTTTGATGTTTATTTAAAGTTCCTAAGGCTGTGCAGTAGGTGGCGTGGTGTAACAACACATCAGTCCGGTCTACTGATTCGCTCCCAGCCGTGAATAACCTTTTGCACTAGCTGAAGGAGAGAAATAGTTATAGGCCTCCTTTACTTAATTAAAAGATACTTAAATTTTGAGAATTATTTTGTCTTTTAAACCCAAACTTCACACAAAATTTTTAAGTTTACTTTTAGATTATTTTTTTTAATTTTTTTTGATCAAGCATTATTTTTATAAATTTAGAAAGAAATGGACGACATTATGACTGAATTTGATCGGGAAGTTGACGCAGCTTCTGTCCATGTTGGCAAACAAATGTGTGTTTATTTTTTAATTTAATAGGGTTGGGGGCCCGGTCCGAAAGATTGAGTCGGGCCTCGAATTATGGCCCGAAAAAGACTTGGTCGGGCCGGCCCGAAAAGAATGACTCGAACGTCGGCCTGACTCGAAAACCCCAACCCTATAATTTAATTCAAAAAATTTTTTCTTTTAAAGTATTGACAAATTGACTGGTGCTCTTTATTTGGGCGAATTAATTCGAAGGATTCTGCTTAAACTTACCAAAGACAAAATTCTTTTTTGTGGTGAAAAAGTTGAAGCATTGGAGAAAGTTGATGGATTTCCAGCTAAATATATTAGTGAAATATTTAGGTTTTTTTATGAAAAGTTGAAAAATTTTTTTAATTTTCTTCAAGTGAACCTGGAGAAATGCGTAAAAATTGTCGTAAAATTTGTGATGAAATGGAAGTTCAGAATCACGGTAGTATTGACTATTTTATTATGCAAGAAGTCTGTATTGCTGCTTCTGAACGTTCTGCTGGCGTTGTTGCTGCAGGTTTTTTTTCTTTTTTTTGATTGAAAAACTTTATGGGAAATTAATTGTAAGTTTGGTGACTTTTTATTGCCCCTTGTATTTTTTTTTCTTTAGAAAGAGGAAAGTTTTGTATTTGTTTTCTCTTTCAGATTATGAGGAGGGGGGTAGGGATATCCAAAAATATTTTGAATTTATTAAAATGAGTTTTGTCTTTTACTAATTATTAAATTAAAGCTCGAAAACCCTCTAAATAAACAAAAATGGGACAACTTTTCTTTTTTTTCCACACTAATTCTTCTGTGCCAAAAATAGTGGAAATGGGGAGGGGGAATAAAATTCAAAATTGCCTTTTAAAAAGAGTTTTTTTTTAATTTTTTTAAAGCCATTTCTGCATTACTTCGACATATTGGACGCAGGAAGATTAAAATTGGTCTTGGTGGTGCAATTATTCAATTCCACCCGCAATATCAAGAGATGTTGGAAAATTATTTGCGGTCTATGGCACCGATTAATATTGACGTTTGTTTTTTTTTTGAAAATTTTGGACTACGGGTATCTTGACATGCATATAAGGGATGTGTGTGTTCTGGTTTTTTGCGTCCGTATTTTTTTTAAATTATGGCATGGCTCGTCCCTAATATGCACGACTCGTCCTAATACACAACTTGATTTTAAAAAATAATTATTAAAAAAATTTTTTTTCCAGTGGGAACTCTGTATTGTTGAAGAGGGCAGTGTTCTTGGTGCGGCCTTAGTTGCTGCAATTGCCGTCAATATGAATCTTAAATAATTTGTTGGTTTTGTTTTGTTGGTTGCATCTCTTATAAATAAAATGGTGCGATAAGAAAGAAAGTTGTTGACCTCTTTTTTTAATTTTTTTAATTTAAAATTTTTTGGCCATTAAGGCAAAACTTATTTAAAAATAAAAAACAAGCGCCTTTCATTTTAAGTAATTTATATAAAAATAAAATAAGCAGCTCCTGACCTGACCCATCCCCCACTTCTCTCTTTATTTTTTTAATTTTATGATTATTATTTTTTTTTGAAAATGCAACTGGAAAAAAATTTTTTTTTCTGATTTAAAAGAATATTTTTTGGAGGTTTTTTAATAAAATGATTGAAAATTTTAGGAGAAAAAATTCTTTTTTTTTCCAGTTGCATTTATGCACTCGTATATATATTTGTATTGTTTTTTCTAAAAAATATAACATTCGTGGACATAACTTGAAGTAGACCATGGGGGGTAAACAACACTAGGGTTACTTTTTACTTTGTCTTGGAAAATTTCAAAAAAAAAATTTTCCCTAAAAATTTCTTGAAAAAAATAAAAGTCCACAAATGTTATATTCTATTTTTTAATTATGTATTTGGACATTCTCAATTTTTTCAAAATAAACTGAAAGAAAATTTTTTTTCAAATGAGTTTAATTATAGGAATCTTCAAGACATGAATTAAAAAAAAATACCACAATTAAATTCTATAAGCAAAAAATTTATAAAAAATTTTTTCATAACAAAGAATCGGTCCCTCGTATTTTAAATAAAATTAGAAAAAAAAATATAGCGTATATTCTAGTCGATTTTTATTTATTTTTTGCTTAACATTTGGTTAATGTTTGACAAGTGAGAGAAAAGAATGAAGGAAGGAATGAATGCTTCTTTTATTTTGAGTTAATCCACGGATCGATGCCATGGATATTTTTTGAAGATAAAAGTAAAAAGTGAAAAGAAAAAATAAAGAAAAATATGAAAAAGATATGCTGGCCATCACAAGTTTATTTATTTTTTTTTATTTTTTAAGAATTTAAAAATGCGCAAAAAATAATTTCTAAAAAGAGAAATTAAAATAAAGCAGCCAAAACTCTCCCCAGAAATTAATAAGAGATTAGATGGGGCTTGATCCTGAGAGTTTTCCAAAGCAAAATTGTTAAGCGCTTGATTTCCGATTTCCGACAGTTCCGATTTCCTGTACCATCGTCATTCTGGAAGAAAACTTTCCCCAGACTTATGTCCATTAACCACCACCAATAAATGTCCCAAATTGAGAGATGCCCTGTAAATAGTTGTTGGTGGAATGTCCATTTAGTTAGAGTGACTACAACCTTCTCGGCACTCAACTGGAAGCATTCAAAAGACCCATTTATAATTAAAGAAAGGATCAAGTCGAACTTTTGTTTTATTTTTCCCTCTAAAAAATTTTTTTTCTCTTTTAACAAAACGCCTCCGATTGACTAAAAATAATAGGTTGGTGAATGAGTAAATGAGAACATGCAAACGTGTGGTAGATAACATTTGTTTAAGCTTAAAATATAATTTTTTTTCAAGCCAGCCGTTGAAAACATTAAAAACAATATAAATCATTTGATTGAATTTTTAGTGTTAAGAAACCCAAAAATAAGACGGAAATAAATATATTTAGTGTTGGGTTTTCTGGAATTTTTGAGTTTTTTGGGTTTTTTGGGGTTCTTTAGGCCTTCCCTATTTTTCATTTTTCAGTGTTTCTGATTTTTCCCAGACTAGGTAATGGACATGGATTTTGGTATCCGTATCCGGATAATTACGGCGGATACAGACGGATATCCGCAGGCATTTTGAACTTATTTGTATCCGTATCCATTACCAAGCCTGATTTTTCCTCTTCTGATTTTTTCCTTGGATTTTCTAATTTTCTGGATCTATAATTAATATAAATTTGGTCCAAACAAAAATTGTTTTTAAAAATATTTTTATATTTTAAAATAGGTTACCTAAATATTGTATTTTATTCTATTAATTAAATGTATACTGTTACAACAATATTTTATTAAAAACAACCAAACAAACAAAAATGCTTTCTCCTACAAAAAAGGAGAAGGAAAAAAATAAAAATCAGAAAAAGAAATCAAATCAGAATCAACAAGAATTAACAAATGGGCAACAAGTAGCACTAATACAGAACGGAAATAAACATAATGGAGATACAAAAAGGAATGGTAAGGGGAGATATAGGAAAAAGGCCTTCCGTGAGGAGGGAGTTGAGTAGGGAGTACTCCTCCATATAGAGCTCCCCCAAAAATGGCCTCCCCGCCACAAATAAGGCTGAACCCCATGTTTTGCTAATAGGGCAATGTTGGAAAAACGTGGGTTTTGGAAAAATGTGGGGGTGAGGGGCAAAACAAAGAATGCCAAAACTCGGAACATTCCGTGTTCTGGCAAGACCGTGTTTTGGTATGGGCTTTATTTTGGTCGTTCCTTGTTTTGTCCGACCGTGTTTTGTCCGACCGTGTTTTGTCCGTTCCGTGTTTTAGCCCAACACGAAATATGGAATTGGCAGAGTATGGGGGCACGAAAAAATACCTATAAAAAGTTAAAAAATTATTTTCTTAAAGGCATTTCCTCTCACCATCTCCTCCCTTCAGAAGAAGACAATTCAGAATCTACAAGTATTGTGGATGATAATTCTGCCTCATTAACTCTACAACAAACCCATTTAATTGAAAATGAAGGGCAAAGCGACGTTTTAAAAACAGAAGAACATTTTACTTCGGAAATTAAATCTTTTGTGGTTGTTAATCCTCCAAAATTTAAACAGGTAGAAAAACAAGGGAAATTTTTATATTAAAAAAATTTGCAAAAAATTTGGCATTCTGTTGTACTGCCGGACTTTTTTAAAATTAAAAATATTGGGTAATATTAAAGATAATTTAGAAGTGAATACAAGGAAATTCAAAATACGATATCTTTTTAAATACATATTTTTCTTGTGTCTAGGGCCCCAAATCCGGGGTTCTTGTGATCTCCGGATTATTCCATGAACGGATTAAATTACTAATAATTTAAAATATTTTTTAAGAGAATAAAAGCATATCGGTTAAAATCAATAGACAGGGTAACCTTGGTTGCAGAAGTACAAAGTTGGCCTGTTGCTGAATTTGAATGGTTTTAATTAATTAATTGAAAAATAATTTTGCTTATTTTAGGTTTTGCAACGATAAACCTGTCAACGAGATAAAGAATCAAGATACTATATTTACAGTAAAAACAAGTGGAAATGTTAGCATAATGAACATACAAAGTTGGGAAATTTTTAAGGAAAATTTTTATTTTTCCCTATTTAAGACCCTTTAGAAGGCATTTATGCCTGTGCAGCAAAAAATTCAGCAGGCATTTCAAAGTCTTATGGCTATATAAAAATAAATGGTTTTATAAAATTAAATTTTTTAAAATAAATTTTAACAAAAGATTCTCAAAAACAAACAGAAGAAACGAGCAATTTAATTATTGGAATACTCTCCCCACCCCCTACACCTGAACCGACTACAACACATTCAAAGAGTACAAAGAGGCCGCCTAGATTTTTGACTGATGTGCCTAATTTAGCTTTGATTAACTCAGAAATTGCTGTAGTTGATGTTGAAGTTAGACCTGTTGCTGATAGGTAGAAATTTTTAATTGGAATTCTGGAAAAATTACTGAGGACAATAGGAGGTCCGAACAGATCCTGAACTATGTCTATCAGGACAGTCCGAATAGTCGTGCGGCCATAAGGTCGCATAACTTGCGTTAAGATTTCCAAATCTTTCCAAATTTGTATTAAACGGATTCCTCTCATCGAGCTAAAGAGATTGGTACAAGATTGATAAGGGCCAAAAATTTTTTAGCAAGTTATGGCTTGGCGACCAATGGCCAGAAATCTGGCAACTATTCGGGCTGTACCCATGTCTATCCCCATGTCACTTCAACATGATTCAAAGCCATGTTGTCCTCAATCCAATAGTCTACTATTTAATTGTCTTACTGCCCTAATGTCTGTCTATTCAACTAGAGTTGTACCCCGACCCCGTACCCCGAACCCCGACCCCGTTCCCGAACGATTTTTTCACGATTCTCCCCGACCCGAACCCCGCCCCGAAACATTTCGAAAACCCCGTACCCCGACCATAAAAGTTTCGGGGTTATCGGGGTTTTATACACCCAAAAAATGCCATTTTTGTGAGAATTTTAAGAGAAAAATTTTAAAAATTTCCTCACAATTTACTTTGCCTTTATTATTTTTGAAAGAAAAATGAATGAAATATCAAAATTTTCTTTCATTCTTAATTAAGAGACTTGTGGTTGAGTGGCTTAGTTGTTGGTTTTAGCCTATATTTCCATTAATATAGGATTGGGTTCGGATCCATATAAGGAGAACTCTTTTGTTTTTATATTTCTTTACAAAAACAAATTATTAACGAGTTAAATTTTAATTTTAAAATATTAATTTTATTTTTAACTGATATCCCTTGAACGACCCTTAATCCTTCAAACCCCTTGTATCACCAGTAAGGGGTTCCCAACCATAACAGTTGGAAAACTATCGAGGTCCTGTTAACGGGAATCAGAGATATAAAGGAATTTGTAGTATATCGAAGAATTAAGGAGTTATAAAGGGATTTAAAGGGATATAAGGTTTAGATTAAAATGGATTTGAAAGAATTACGTGAATTTAACGGAATTAAAAAGGAATTCGTGGGAGATCTAAGGATTAATCCAAGATATCTCCTGATATCCGTCCAAATACCCTTATCCGCAATACTTCAATATTCTTATTAATCACTGATATCCCTTGAAACAACAAAAATCACTCCAGATCACCTTGCACCCCTAGATATACCATTTAATCCCTAAAAATCCCGCTTAATCCCTCCATATCCACTTATATCCTAAGTTATACACTTTAATCCCTTCAAATCCCCTCTAATTTCTCCAAATCCTACTTAATTTTTGAATAAATTAGCGAAAATATAACGAGATCTGATTATTTTTGAGCATTTTTTTCTCTAAAAATTTTTTCCCTAAAACCCCGTACCCCGACCCGAACCCCGGTCATATTTTGCTCCCCCGACCCGAACCCCGCCCCGAAACAATTGGAAAACCCCGTACCCCGACATACCCGCCCCCGAACGTTCGGGGTACAACCCTATATTCAACTAACCCTCCCTTCATTTTTAGTTTTACATGGTATCTGGACGGTCATCTTATTGCTGAAATTATCCCAGCAAACACATCAGAAGACGTATTTCCAATAGATTCTGCAAATGCAACATTCTTTCTACCAAAATCTGGGCAATGTGTTGCTCATTTCAAAGAGGCAAAGCCTGGACGGTATACTTGTGTTGCCAAAAACGAAGCAGGAATAGCCAAAAGTACAGGGTTTATTGAGAGAATATCAGGTAAAACGTAGAATATATTGATAAAAGCCTTATTCTATCCAGATTTAAATTCAATCTCCAACATTCATTCAAATCTTCTACGAGAAACAACACTTCCCCCTATAAGTAGTGAAGGCAGAGGAGGGTCAAGAGAAAGATTTTCTGGCTCACGCACAAAAACAACAATTCACACAACTACTGTAGTACATCGCTCCTCTAGTCTACCAAAAAGAAAAGCTTCTGGGGAGAGTTCTAGGGCGGATAGTGGTGAAATTTTGAGGAGTTCCTTTTAATCAGTCATTTTTCTCAGAATTCGACTCTTCTCTAATTGTCCGCCCAAAAATGGCAACTCCAGAAAAAGAAAGTGTTAATGCTGACAGAACCCCAATTATACCTAATTTTGTTGTTTTCCCGCCCCCAACAATCTGCCTTTCAAAACAAATGCAAAAAACACTTGAATTACACGTCGCTTGCCAAGCTTATCCACCAGCACAAATAACTTGGTTTATTAACGGAAAAGGATTGGCAGAAGAGTTGGAGAAAAATGAATATCGAGTACTTACTGAACATAATGAATCTAGATTGTTAGTAGAGAGTGGGGGTGAGGGTGGGCTACCCAAGGAAGGAATTTATGTAGCGGAGGCTTCTAATGCTTATGGAACGGGAAGATGTGAAACAATGGTAGGGGTTGGAATTGTCTTGTCTTTAATAAAACGGAGAGATTTTAAGGTCACAATCTCGGATGATGTCTTGTCTACGATTGATGAAAACTCTCTAGATGATTCCGAAACAGTAACAAAAATAATTCAAAAAAGAGTAGAACGCCAAGAATTGTTTGAACAAGATTCTGACGAGGAGGATGAATTTTTAAACGAAAAGGATGGGAACGGTGATGATAAATTTTTTGTAAGCACACAAACAATTGAAGAAGCACCAATGAGGGAAGTAGAACAGATTCACATTCTACAACAAAAGGTAGAGGAAAAAGAGTGATCTCCTTAAAATTTATTTTTTAGAGACCAGAAATAGTTCTAGCTCCAGACAGTCGAATATTTGTTCCAGGTGGACTTCCTCTTGTTTTAGAGTTGAAAGCGGATTCGGAAAGTGATTGTACTATTCGTTGGTATTTAAAGAATTTTGAATTACATCCAAATGGAAATACAGTGATTGTTGAGAATTTGGAAAGAAATCATGAGAAACTGTGAGTATTAGATATCGGACAGAGGGAGGTCCAGAACAAAGAGCTCGCTTATCGAGATCGAGATACACTCCCAGTCCTTAATCTCCTGTAGGTATAAAGCCGTGGTTAGCACTAGGGGTGACGGTTCCTGGGGTATCTCCAGGTATCCAGACCCGATAACCAAACCGAAAATTTCCGGATATCCGGGGTTTATTCTGTTCTGGGTACTTTAGTATCAACCAATTATTACAAAAATTTAAATTTTCAGCACAATTCTAAACCCAACAGAAGGTATTTACAAAGCAGTAATTCAAAATGACCATGGAATGGCTACTTTTGAATGTCGAGTACTTGTAGAAGTTCCCCCTCAAAGTGATCAAGATTTACCCGAATTTATGCAACGATCCCGTGCCCTACTTCTAAAATCCCCAACACCCCCTCCAATTTTTAAACCAGAAAAACAGCGTCCAACGAAAGAAGAAAGTGAAGCAGTTAAACGAATTGATATAGCTCCAAAGATTATTTCAGAATTTGAAGAGGTTTATAGAATAGGAGAGAATATGCCGTTTGAATTAGATGTTAAAGCAGAAGCTAGGCCTGAAGGTAAATGAGAATACCGTATAACCTACAATCGACTCAGCACCTTTTATTACCATATAAATGATATTTTGAGCATTTATTTAGGGGGGGGGGTTGGTAGAACGGAAAAGTAACCTATATTTTTCAAATATCCTCCAATGGTCACTATTTCAGAGTGGCTCTAATATAGGCAATTTTTTTAAAACAAATCTCATTTTTGTAGCTCAATTTCAATGGAAACATAACAATTTTGAAATAAAATCGAATGATCAAGTACAAATTAAACATGTTGGTGAGAATAACGAGAAAATATCTTTTGCCAAGGCGGTTGATGGAATTGGTAAAGAAATGCTTAATATATAAAATTTAAAATTAAATTTTTAAAATCTTAAGTCGAGGTTCATGCTGTGAATAAATTAGGAAAGGATATTAAACGAACAAAAGTGGTGGTCGATTATAACTTTGATCCTTCAAATGAAAATAATATTAATAAATTAACTGTAGAAATTGTAGAAAGAAAGGAAGGGAAGGATGAAGGGCCAAAAAAATTGGAAAAGAGGAAGAAAGATACGCAAGAAGTTAAAGCAAATGGAGATTTAGAAGGCGTTGAATTTAGTAAAAAGAAATCAAAGAAAATAGCTGATAAAGCAGAAGAAACTGAAGCAAAGCAAAGCCTAGACAACGATTTAATTAGTATTGAGAAACAGGAAGGTTAGTCCAGATAAGAGACAGGACTGAGACTTGATCTTAAGCGAAAATCTTGGTTATCGGGATCGAGATTTGAGATATCCATCTCGATTATCATACTGGAAAAACAAATACACATTGTAGTTGTCGAAATAGAAAGGACCCCAGACCGTAAACCAGAACAACATCCACTAACTGAACAACCTTGTTTGATTTAATTAATGATCTCAGTCCGATCTCTAGTCCAAATCTTTCAATTAAAAAAATTTCTTTTTTGTCTAGAAACCTATTCATTACTTATCAAAGTAGCCGAGAGTATGGCGGATAATTTAGTTGCTAATATATTTGTTAGTGCTCTCGAAGAAGCTACTCAAAAATTAGTTGGTAGCGAAAAGAAGGATAAAAAGAAAGTTGATAAAAAGAAAATTGCTTCGAAAGAGAAAGCTGAAGCAAAAAAAGATGAAGAAGGAGATATCTTGATAGAACTTGATTTAATTAATAATAAATTGTCGGATAATTTAAATATACTGGCTAATATACAGGTGAATATTTGTAGAAAAATTAGTGATATTTTCAATATTTTTAGATGTTTGAGGTTGAAAGTGTGAACGAAAAAGTTTTGTCATTGCCTGCTTCAAAGATTAAAGAGAAGGAAAAAGTTGCTTCTAAATTAGAAAAGGAAGTAGAAATCAGCAAGGAGAGCTCAGAGGCTAAGAAAACTGAAGAACCTGTTGAGGGAAAGGTTCAGGAGAAAATAGGAGCCGATAAGGAAGATATTTCAGAAGAAGAGCGTACCAAAAGTTTATCGCAAAGAAGGCCCTCACAGCAACAGTTGGATAACGTTAATTTACAGGATATGGAACTTTTAGAGCTTGTAAATCGTTTAAGGACTGTTGAAGGGTTTTTAACTGAACAGCCTGTTGAGGTTGGGAATGAGGAGAAGAATGAGGAGGAAGGACGAAGGGAAAAGCCTGTTGAAGAAAAAATTGTCCAAGAAGCTGTCTCTTCGGAGAAAGAAGAGGGTTTAGTTAATGGAACGGGAATTATTAAAGGCGTTCATGAAAATCAGAATATTATTGCTGATATAGCCGAACTAGAAGCAAAACGTCAATTAGAGATTGCACAAAAAGTGAAGCAACATCGTGATGAAATTGCAGCAAAACTACAGCAGCAGCAACAACAAAGTAGCCGTTCACCTTCCCGTAGAAGGGCAGAAATCCAAATTGTAGTTGTTGAACAAGAAAGGACCCCAGACCGTAAACCAGAACAACACCCACCAGCACAGCCTATCCCCTATGGAGGAAAACCGAAAATAAACAAAATAACTTTGGGGGTATTTCTGAATCTTCCACCTCATGTAGTTGCTTTTAATGTGTATCTATTGGAAACTAATAGTTTGAATGTTGAAAAAAATATTAAAATGTGTAGTAAAGGAAAGTATAAAAACAAAGAAAAAGAAGAGACTAAGATGCTTCAAAAATCAGAAGAGAATAAATCGCTGCAGAATAAAAAGTTGCTTCAAAAATCAGAAAAACAACCAGAAACAGATAAGAATGAACAAAGTTTAATAGAAACGGAAGGCTATTTTACCTCTTCCGGAGAGAATAAAAGGGAAGGAATTGAAGAGGAAAAGAATTTGGATTCTCAGTTATTAGTCAGATTAAAGCCTGAAGGTATACGATTTGAAAAAAAGTTTCGAGAAAATTTTTTAAAATTTAGTTACTTTGGAAAAATCCGAAGCTGAACCTCTTTCTGACATTTCTGAACGTACTGAGGACATTTCTGAGAGGACGGGAGATTCTGGAAAAAGAGATCAGCTAAGACGAAAGGCTAGTTTTATGAGGGATTAGGGATTGTAAGTTTAAAAATAATTTTTTAGTCCCGCCTTGAACCCGAAACAATTGCTGCTGATTTGTCTTTTGTGCAGGACTTGGAGAGGGGTGAATCTGAAGCACAAATATTGGTGAGAGAAATACAGTACCTTCTGAATTTTTTCTCTCAAAATTTTGTAGGAAATGGATCGTTCAAATGCTTCTGGAATTTCTAGAAAAATCCCTGCAAAACCCTCAATCCTCCAAAAACTGGAGGAGTTTAAACTTGGTTTGCAGGAAAAACTAACTTCAGACTTATTTTCATTGGAACAATTATTCCAAGCACAATTCTCGGCACGTTGTGGGGCAAAATTAGAAATTGTTAAAAATCAGGAATGTGCGAATATAGAAGTGATTGTGGCTGATTTCCTTTTAGAAAAAGGTGATTTTTTTGTGATTAAGCGAAATTTGTGTAGCAGAAGAAATGTCCAAATAGAGGCTATCACACCAATGGACTCATAAGTTTTGATCGGAATACTAAACTACCAGAGCCTAGAATACCCTCAATACTAGATAGGCTTTAATTTTCTTCCTAAATTCGATCGGTCACTGGTAGAGGAATTGCCTACTGATCGTTATTTATGATATATTTTCTCTAAATTATTTAATATATACAGTGGAGAGCTCTGAGAAGAAACAGCTTTCAACGACCGAATCCTATCAAAAGCCGGAGTTCCTAGAAGAATTACCTTCTATTCCAATTGAACTTCTTGAAGGCGTAGATCGTCAAGTATTTCCAAAATGCACATTCAAAGGCTTTCCAACTCCAACAGTTACTTGGTGGATTGGTAACGAGCCCGTGTTGGGAAATAAGTAAGGAGATTTGAGAGACCGTTAAAACTTATTTATTAAAGATTTGTTGATTGTATTGTCGAGGAGGGCACCTCATACTTAGTTGCTCAAAAGGTGCCAATTGAATGGGATGGGAAAGAAATACATTGTGAACTTCATTCGAGTGCAGGAATGAGTACATCTAAAAGTGGAACTATTCGTGTTTTAGGTAGAAAATAATTTTTAGAAAAATGGGGGGGGGGGTTAACCGTAAAATGGGGAATACGCTAATTTATTTTAAAATTAAAATCCAGGCAATAACGAAATTAATGTTGACATTGACCTTGAAGCAATAGAAGAGCCTCAATCTGAAGGTGTAGCCGAACATGCCCTCAAAACCTTCTACTCAGCACGTTATGGCCGCAAAAAACAACAAAAACCAACCTCAAAATTCTCTTTAGGAGAAAGAAAAATGTCTCGCGAAAGTCTCTCTACAGTCTTGGAAAGATTAGATGAAAGGAGGGGCCATCGTCCTACAACAATAACACGTCCAAGTTCATTTGGAGGGGTCCCTCCCTTCTTTATTGTTTCGTTGGCGCCGAGTTTGTATTTAAATGTGTGTTATTTTTAATTATTTTAAAAGGAAAATTTTAAATTTAAATGTAGGAGGGTCAGAGCATCACACTATCTGCAAAGTGTGTAGGAGCTAATCGGTTAATATGGAAAAAGGACTCGTCAATTATTGTTGGGAATGAAGAGTAAGTTTGGAATTTAATAATCAGAATTAAAAAATCAGAGTTTTTTTAATAAAATCAGAATTTTTGAAATAAAAAATCAGAATATTATTTTTAGTAAATACATTATCGATACGGTAATGTCAAGTGGAACTACTCGCTTAACAATACTAAATATAAATCTTCGTGATGAAGCGAGTTATACTTGTGAGGGTATAAATGAGTATGGGAGAGCTTCAACTGAATGCAGAATGACAACGGAATCGGGTGGGTTAAGAAATTTTGAAGCAAGCTAGTTTGAATCAAAATTCCGAAGCAAATTTGCTTAATGTATTCTATTTAAACTTTTATTAAATTACTTGAAGCAAAATATTTTAAATGTGAAACAAAAAATTTTTTTAGACGAAATGTGTGAAAATGAAGCAGATATCCTCATCTCTTGTAAGAAAATAGATTCAGAAGCACATATCGAAATAGGTGTATTAGAAGCAATAAAAGAGACTCAAGAAATGACAATAAAAGAAGATAAAAAGAAAATAAAGAAATCTGTGACATTTGAAGCAGAAGAAGTTAATTTGAGGGTAGATATTAATTTTGAGGATGTTGATGTTTTGGATGTAAATTTGTATGAATCATTTGAGGAAGTTGTTTCAGAAATAATTCAAGTTGGAGGAAAAAAGAAGGAAGAAGTTAAAATGGAAGAAAAAGAAACGAAATTGCTAACAGATTTTACTCTTGAAGTAGAAATTAATTATGAGACAACAGATATGCTTGAAATATTTTTGTATGAAACAATTGAATTTGTTGAAAGAGTAATAAGAAAGGGAGAGATAGTAATTGATGATCTAAAGCAGAAAGCCGATGCTGAGGCAAAACAAAAATCTGAACTTGAAGCAAAACAGAAACAAGAGAAGCAAAAGTTAGATGATGCTAAAAAGAAGGCTGAAACTGAAGCTAAGCAGAAGGCTGAAGCCGAGGCAACAAAACAAAAAGCAGCATCAAAGAAACTCGATGATTCGAAGAAAGATGAGGATGAGAAGAGAAAGAAGGAAGAAGCCTTAAAGAAACAACGTGAAGCTGAAGAAAAGGAAAAAGCCAAAAAACTGGCGGAAGAGAAAAAATTAAAGGAAGATGAAGAGAAGAGAAAGAAGGAAGATGAAGCTAAGAAGATGAGAGATGAATTATTGGCTAAGAAGAAGGATGAGGAAGCTAAGAAAAAAGACGTAAAAGAAGAGCCTCCAAAGAAACTCGATGATTCGAAGAAAGATGAGGATGAGAAGAGAAAGAAGGAAGAAGCCTTAAAGAAACAACGTGAAGCTGAAGGAAAGGAAAAAGCCAAAAAACTGGCGGAAGAGAAAAAATTAAAGGAAGATGAAGAGAAGAGAAAGAAGGAAGATGAAGCTAAGAAGATGAGAGATGAATTATTGGCTAAGAAGAAGGATGAGGAAGCTAAAAAAAAAGACGTAAAAGAAGAGCCTCCAAAGAAACTCGATGATTCGAAGAAAGATGAGGATGAGAAGAGAAAGAAGGAAGAAGCCTTAAAGAAACAACGTGAAGCTGAAGAAAAGGAAAAAGCCAAAAAACTGGCGGAAGAGAAAAAATTAAAGGAAGATGAAGAGAAGAGAAAGAAGGAAGATGAAGCTAAGAAGATGAGAGATGAATTATTGGCTAAGAAGAAGGATGAGGAAGCTAAGAAAAAAGACGTAAAAGAAGAGCCTCCAAAGAAACTCGATGATTCGAAGAAAGATGAGGATGAGAAGAGAAAGAAGGAAGAAGCCTTAAAGAAACAACGTGAAGCTGAAGAAAAGGAAAAAGCCAAAAAACTGGCGGAAGAGAAAAAATTAAAGGAAGATGAAGAGAAGAGAAAGAAGGAAGATGAAGCTAAGAAGATGAGAGATGAATTATTGGCTAAGAAGAAGGATGAGGAAGCTAAGAAAAAAGACGTAAAAGAAGAGCCTCCAAAGAAACTCGATGATTCGAAGAAAGATGAGGATGAGAAGAGAAAGAAGGAAGAAGCCTTAAAGAAACAACGTGAAGCTGAAGAAAAGGAAAAAGCCAAAAAACTGGTGGAAGAGAAAAAATTAAAGGAAGATGAAGAGAAGAGAAAGAAGGAAGATGAAGCTAAGAAGATGAGAGATGAATTATTGGCTAAGAAGAAGGATGAGGAAGCTAAGAAAAAAGACGTAAAAGAAGAGCCTCCAAAGAAACTCGATGATTCGAAGAAAGATGAGGATGAGAAGAGAAAGAAGGAAGAAGCCTTAAAGAAACAACGTGAAGCTGAAGAAAAGGAAAAAGCCAAAAAACTGGCGGAAGAGAAAAAATTAAAGGAAGATGAAGAGAAGAGAAAGAAGGAAGATGAAGCTAAGAAGATGAGAGATGAATTATTGGCTAAGAAGAAGGATGAGGAAGCTAAGAAAAAAGACGTAAAAGAAGAGCCTCCAAAGAAACTCGATGATTCGAAGAAAGATGAGGATGAGAAGAGAAAGAAGGAAGAAGCCTTAAAGAAACAACGTGAAGCTGAAGGAAAGGAAAAAGCCAAAAAACTGGCGGAAGAGAAAAAATTAAAGGAAGATGAAGAGAAGAGAAAGAAGGAAGATGAAGCTAAGAAGATGAGAGATGAATTATTGGCTAAGAAGAAGGATGAGGAAGCTAAGAAAAAAGACGTAAAAGAAGAGCCTCCAAAGAAACTCGATGATTCGAAGAAAGATGAGGATGAGAAGAGAAAGAAGGAAGAAGCCTTAAAGAAACAACGTGAAGCTGAAGGAAAGGAAAAAGCCAAAAAACTGGCGGAGGAGAAAAAATTAAAGGAAGATGAAGAGAAGAGAAAGAAGGAAGATGAAGCTAAGAAGATGAGAGATGAATTATTGGCTAAGAAGAAGGATGAGGAAGCTAAGAAAAAAGACGTAAAAGAAGAGCCTCCAAAGAAACTCGATGATTCGAAGAAAGATGAGGATGAGAAGAGAAAGAAGGAAGAAGCCTTAAAGAAACAACGTGAAGCTGAAGAAAAGGAAAAAGCCAAAAAACTGGCGGAAGAGAAAAAATTAAAGGAAGATGAAGAGAAGAGAAAGAAGGAAGATGAAGCTAAGAAGATGAGAGATGAATTATTGGCTAAGAAGAAGGATGAGGAAGCTAAGAAAAAAGACGTAAAAGAAGAGCCTCCAAAGAAACTCGATGATTCGAAGAAAGATGAGGATGAGAAGAGAAAGAAGGAAGAAGCCTTAAAGAAACAACGTGAAGCTGAAGAAAAGGAAAAAGGTAAAAAACTGGCGGAAGAGAAAAAATTAAAGGAAGATGAAGAGAAGAGAAAGAAGGAAGATGAAGCTAAGAAGATGAGAGATGAATTATTGGCTAAGAAGAAGGATGAGGAAGCTAAGAAAAAAGACGTAAAAGAAGAGCCTCCAAAGAAACTCGATGATTCGAAGAAAGATGAGGATGAGAAGAGAAAGAAGGAAGAAGCCTTAAAGAAACAACGTG